TCGTGCAAAGCCAGTCTACTTACTTTGTCTTGGCGGGTGAGTCAGCAGATAGCTACCTCCGCAGCAGCTAGCCGGAGAGTGCCCTTCTCTTCCGAGTCTGGGGTAGGCTGCAGATTTCTCTGCGGCTGGAGGAGTGGGTATTTGGCTCAGCACTAGTCAACAGCGACACCCTGCGCCTCGGGTGCGGAACTGCAGTAGTGGTTACTAAATCAATTCCCAATCTCCAAACTTACAAAGATTAGGAGAAAATTCGACTGTGTACTAATACTGACACTCGCTCTTTCCAGTTGGAAAGGATTTTTAGACATTTTAAGTATTTACTGTATCTCCAGTTTCGTAGTTATTTCTTTGAATTCAAACTGTAACCACCCAAATCAAGTGTTTTTAGATAACTTGGCTTACAGTATTTATGAGCATTGTGGTGCTTTTAGTTTTCATTTTCATAAAAACGACAAAACAATATCTTCCTTGTTTACCTTAGTAGATTTAGGACCAATGAAGCAATATGTAGAAAATCATAAGGAAAGCTAGTGCTGGTGATAACAGAATAGACAGTATAAAAATTCTTGAAATATCAGCTTGCTGTGTATTGTTATTCCACTCTGTTTCATCTTCTCCTAACTTATAGAAGTTCTAAATCTCATAGCTTTAAATTTTATTCTGTTACACTTCTATCTTACCTTTACCATCTCCTCCCCCCAAATAATTGAGAGGTAAGCAAGAAGATTGATGGTCCCTACAAAAATAGAAGTCCAATAAGAAGCAGGAGATTTACTTTCCTTACTCTCCAAGTGTCTACTCTTTCAACACCCTTCATTGCCAGACTGTGGGTGTGCATGCCAGAGGTGGGGCAGAGAGAGAAAAAGCACCCCACGATGGGCTGTGCTCATGCCACAACCCCCCTTCTTTCTTGTCAGGATTTTTGGGAATTCAGGAATGCACTCCCATGCCTCCCCCAACACCCCCGTGTGTCTCTCATGCAGCTGGGGCCCTAACTGAACCACTGTGGCCATGTGCTATCTGGCTCCCTTAACCACTTCACTGTGGAGCCAAGTCCCAAGTGTCTACTCCTATGAACAGAATTGAAAAAAAAAATTCCATAAGCCTGCTCTGGGTGGTGCAGTTTATAGTGTACTAGACTGGAAGCCACAGGGACCCAACTGGTGGCCCCACCACCGGATGGGGTCTCAGGCTGACCTGAAAATACACCAGACCAAGTGGTGGGGTAGGAAATACTCAAGATCTTGAGAAGCTGAAGGGCTGGAGGAAAAGGAATGAGGCATGATAAACCCAGTCAAGAATGCTTTTTTCTCTGTTTCTCGCACATGCATTCTGAATCACTGTATGAAGAATTTTTAAAAATACATGTCCCAGGAACCAGCAGTTAGCGTAATGGCTATGTTGCTGGACTCCCACATAGTCGACCGCGGTTCACGTCCCGGACCCAGTGGCTTAAAACTCACGCCGGGCGTGTGTGTGTGCGTGCCCAAGATCACGAGAGGAGAATGGAGGAGAAGGGATTGCGGCGTGGCCGTCCCCTCGGGGGGGTGATTTCTCGTTTTCTGTCTCTATGTCTCTCTCTGTCTGGTTGGCAAGCACATGCGCCCTATAGCGAAAACCTCTCCAAAAAAAAAAAAATGTCCCACAAATGATATGTCTCCACACTGCATTATGATTGTCCTTGATTGTACTATTTCTCCCCGGGTAGCTTAAAAATAGTAAGTTATTTTTATTTCTTTTCCGGGTGGGGTGAAGTATGAGTCCTTATAATTATGTATGCCAAGGAAAAGAAATCTCTGATATCTGCTTTTCCTTATCTGATCATCCCAACCTTTGGTTATCAACACTCTTCTCTTGTCAATGAGCATGCCAACTTTCATGTTTCTGACAGGTGTTTTACAGTTTTTACCTCATTTCAAAACCAGAAAATCTTCATGAAGAAATCATCTTTAACATACATAATATATTGCTATTCTAAAATTTGGCTGGTATGCAGCAACACTGAACTCACTTGACAGTGGAAAAGCATTAGAGGGTCTTTTTACCTTTTAAGGTTTTTGTCATAGAGTGTATTCACTCACCTGAGAGGAGAGCGACAGTGAGAAGGAAAGTGAGAAATCATCCCAGTGTGTGGGAAGAGATGGCCGTGCTGCAATCCCTTCTCCTCCATTCTCTCCTGGGATTTTGGGCACACACACACACACACACACATGCCTGACAAGATTTTCATGCTTCCAGGTCCAGAACTTGAACTGCAGTTGGCTATGTGGAAGTTCAGCACCTTAACCACCATGCCAACCTGCCTGCCTCAGCATTAGCACATCTTAAACTGCTCATTGTATCCAGTATTTCAGACAGCCACTCACTGGCATCTTTATATATACATTTAAAAACGTGCTGACTCAAGACTTTCTCTAAAACATGCCTACGAAAATGCCTTCCTGCCACTGTAAAAACACTTCAGTTAATCATACACTCAGAGCATTTTATAATGTAAAGTCTGTTGGTAGTTTTAGAAGTTTAAAAGATATTTTTCACTGCACAAAAGGTTAAACACAATATACAAAATCAAGTCTATAAATTTTTCTTATTTCCTTATTTGTTTATTGCTAGAAGATATGTGTCCTTCCCAAAGAGACAGAAAGACACAAAGAGAGGCACAGGAGAAAGCACTACCCCCACCCCCCCACACACACACACACAGGGAATGGTCATGCTGCAGTCCCTTCTGTTCCACCTCTCCCTTCTTTCTGGATTTTAGGCACGTGCACACACCCTCTGTGTTTCTTAAGCCACCAGGTCCAGGACTAAAACTGTGTAGTTGGACATGTGGGATCTGGCTGCCACAATCACCAGGCCATTGAGCCAGACCTTTAAACTCTTCTTTTAAAAAGTAACAGAAGGGGACCAGCAGTTAGCGTAATGGCTATGTCGCTGGACTCCCATGTAGTCGACCGTGGTTCGAGTCCCAGACCTGGTGACTTAAACTCATGCCAGGCATGTGTGCATGCGTGCCCAAGATCCCGAGAGGAGAATGGTGGAGAAGGGATTGTGGAGTGGCCACCCCTCCAGGGGTGATTTCTCGCTTTCTGTCTCTCTGTCTCTCTCAGTCTTTCTGGCGAGCACACGCGCCCTATAGCAAAAATCGCTAAAAAAAAAAAAAAAGGTAACAGAAGTGGGGCTGGCAGGTGGCGTGGTGGTTAAGGCTGCTGGACTCCCACAAGGCTGACCATGATTCGAGTCCTGAACCCAGACCTAATGACTTGCTTTCTCATTTTCCATCTCTCTCTCTTACTCTGTCCCTATCTGGTCACATTAAAATAAAATAAATAAAAGTTAAATAAAATAATTCTTTTTTTAAAAAAAGTAACAGAAGTGAGTTGTCAATGTAGGAGTGAACTATGTCAGCATCATACACATTCTTGTTAGTCTCTGATGCATTCACTACTCAGCAAGTATGCACATGGTACATAGAAGTTAAAATTGTCCTTTTTTATAAAAAGAAATAGGGATCATGTGTTCATTGGAGGAGACATAGAAAGTGAGAAATCATCCCTGGGTGTGGCCATGTTGCAATTCCTTCTCCTCCATTCTCCTTTGGGGATTTTGGCCATGCACACACATGTGCCTGGTGTGCTTTTCAAGCCTCTGGGTCCGAGACTTGAACCACACAGTCAGCTATGTGGGATCCAGCTACCTTAACCTCCATGCCACCTGCCGGCCCAGAAATGTCCATATTTATATGTAAATTAATATAATTGAAGCAAACACTTAAAAAAAGAAAGGCAAGTAGTGCTAAGTTCCCAAATATGTCAATGAACCTTTCATGTGGTCGAGTACTGCAGCTTATCCCAGTAATAATATTCCATTACTATTTCTTCCTATGATGTAGACTTTGCAGCTGATGTTCAGGGTGTTGAAAGTACAAAATTGGAAAGAG